TTATTAAGCCCTAAATCATACAAAATATGTTTTAAATAAATGTGGCTTGGGTTCTTTTTATTTAATGGCTAATGCTGGACTTGATTTTATTTGGTGTGAAGTAGAGATCCAAATTCATCATTTCATTTCCAGGCAAACAATAAATTCAAACCATTAATTCAATCATACATTTTTATTTTATATGAATGTCTTTTCATTTCTGACCATTTGAAGCCATTTCTCATAACTTCTTCCTACAGTATCTCCTTAGGAAGTTCTATTAGGGCAAGTCAAATGGAAATAGAAAGATGAGAGTAGAAAACCATCCAACAAGCCAGAGTGGTGGCTCAGGCCTGCAATCTCAGCTACAGGAGAGGCACAGGTAAGGAGGATCAAAGTTGAAGCCTGGCCAGGCAAAGACACAAGATCCAATCTGAAAAATAACGAAGTCAAAAAGTTGTGATGCAAAAAAAAAAAAAGTTGTGATGCAAGAGGTAGGGTGCCTACCCAGTAAGCTCAATGGAGACCTCTGTACTAACACAAAAGAAGAGAAAATTCCTTTAGCCAAAGTGTATTGGTTAAATTTTTTTAAAAAAACACCTTTTACTCCCAAAGTATATATTTCATATTCATTCTCCAAATATAAGTGGTAGTGGTGTTTTTGTTTCTGAGTATATAATTCTAATGATTTTCCCTTAGCACTTCGAAATCCTTCATGTTATTCTCACTCTGGTAGAAAGGAACATGGCCACTGACAATTCCTGGGCCCCAAAACTTATGGGTGAGATGCTGCCATTCCCAGTTCTCAGTCCCAAACTTTCAATGGAGGATCTGGGAATACTTAAGCATAACCCTCTCTTGGAGTCGATCAGCGATACCTAGAAGATGGTGAGCTAACAGAATGACCAATCCTCCAGTGCACAAATAGGTATGGGATGGGAACAGCACAGGCGGACAATGACAGTGTTTGCAGGCAACTTTAGCAAGGGCAACTTAAACATAATGCCTCATGCAACTGAAATGTCCTAGCATCATATATAGTTATCCTTTCTGTGTAAGGGGAAGAATTGTATAGTTTGAGCTTCAAAAATTCTTTGAATACACAAGGAAAGCCTGCAGAGTCCAAGATGTACTGGCAGCAAGAGGAGGTCTTCACAGATGCGGTGTGAATTGCAACCTGGAACCCTTTGTTCTATCAAGAATCACCTTGCTGACTCTAAACCATCTCCTTCTCCATCCTGCTGCCACCAACACAGCATGGCCCCAGCCTCACACTAGGGTGACATCTCTGCTTCCCAGAGTCTCATCTTTCCCCTGGTGTGGTCCAAGAACCACATGGAAGCCGGTGCATATGGACTAAAAGCCACTCTCTTCCCCAAGGCTGCCCAACAGCATGGCATCTGTTCAGCACCAACACCTTATCCTGACCATCCATGCCCAGCGTTCCAGCCACACTGCTATGTCAGTGCTGCCTTCAAGAAAGCTCTTTCTCACCACCTGTGACGTGATCAACTCCCCTGGAATTCTTCCTGCAATTTCTGAACACACTTCAATTTCTGAACACCTTCAAGTTTTAGCTAAACATTATGTCCTTTTTAGAAAAGTCTCCTTGACCAAATTACCTAAATCCTTCCCTTGCAGTTCTCAATCTCTGCCTTTAACAAATGGGCCCCATGCCTCCTCACAGCCCACTTACATAACCAACTTTCATTTTTGACCAAAAGCTGCTAAAGTGAATTTAATTTCTAATTATACATTTGTATTCTTAGCTTCTTCCCACCAAAAAGATTAGTGTCTGTTCTATTATTAAAATGCTTCCAATTTCTTAAACTGTTTCTTTTTTTCTTTTTGGTCGGTCCTGGGGCTTGAAGTCTGGGCCCAGGCACTGTCCCTGTTCCAGCTCAAGGCAAGTACTCTACCACTTGAGGCACAGCGCCAATTCCAGTTTTCTGGAGATCAAGAGTCTCACAGACTTTCCTGCCTGGGTTGGCTTTCAACCACAATCCTCAGGCAGATCTCAGCCTCCTGAGTAGCCGGGATTGCAGGCGTGAGCCACTGATGCCTAGCTTTTTTTTTTTTTTTTTGCAGGTCCTGGGGCTTGCACTCAGGACCTAGGTGATGTTCTAAGCTTTTGTGCTCAAGGCTAGCACTCTACCACTTGAGCCACAGCTCCACTTCATTTTTTTGGTGGTTAATAGGAAATAAGAGTCTCACAGACTTTCCTGCCCTGGCTGGCTTTGAACCATGATCCTCAGATCTCAGCCTCCTGAGTAGCTAGGATTACAGGTGTGGGCCCACCAGTACCTGGGATCACAATTTCATAAATATTTCTTTAAATTCTTCTTCATTGGGGAATACAGAAAAAAGAAAAAATTGTGGCTATTGAGAGATTTTTGCAGCATTTTTGTGAAATCACAGCAAGCCTTCTCTCATTGATTCTTTAACAGACTTCAATCACTGAAGGTGTTTCAAGGTGTGAACACTTCATCATCAGAGTTAAGAAAAATAAGAAGTCCTAGAAGAAAGTTCTACCTTTGGGGGTCTGAAAATTACTCCCAATGCCTACTCAATTTAGTCAGTTAGCTTATAAGTCTGAAAAAGAAGCCTACAACAAGCAAGGAGACGTCCAGCGACGGTTGGAACTCCTTCTGAGGTTCCCACAGCAACATTTCACTAGCCTGGGTCAGAATGTATCCACGTCAAGCAGTCATTGCCAGTCTTCATTTGTATCCTCCCACAGAAATGGTGCTCCTTTTCTGTAACTGTAATTTTTTCCCCTAACTTTCAAGTAAGCTTGCTGCAATAAGAACAGTATAAACATCTTCAGATACTCTCAGAAATAAAGCTCCATATTCAGCCAAACTCTTAATCCTCTCAGAAGACTGCGAGGTAGACAGGAGATGAACAAGTTATTAGCTGTATATTATTCAACTTTGGCCTAAGAGGTGACATGGAATATAATTAATTTTTAACTCTAAAAATTTCTTTCCAGGTGACATAAATTATTTGTTCTAATTCTCTCTTGGTAACTGTGATATTTATATGACCATTAAAAGTTTCACATAGCAAAAAAAAATTTTTAAGCATAAACATAGAGACACTTTTCAATAACATAAGACATTTGTAATAGTAATTATGGAACATGGATGTTTTACTGAATTTCATATTGCAACAAACACTGAACACTGAAAAACAATTACACCAATACAATAAAAAATAATTGTATCCACAGAATACTTATAAATGCATACTTCTTCCTCCAAAGAAATTTGTTTTCACAGACTTTTAAGTAACAGATGATTTACATAGTCTTCAGATTCCAAAATATGTACAAAACTTTTGACTACAGAAACCCATGTGCGGTGGTTGAGAAAAATGTTGCGCTGTCCAACAACCAAGCTCAGGAAATTTGCTACCAACACATTTTTATTTTTTTGTAACCACACATTTTCCTTCCAACATTAAATGAAATTCTGGACACTTCTGCACATTATAGTGTTTCCATTTCTTAACACTATTTCAAATGAGTCACATGTGGCTGATAACATAACTTCATCCTAGCCACGTGACACACACATGCATGCACCCGTGTGCATGCATACACTTTCCTCAGGTGTAAACCTCTTGGAAGCAACCCCACCCGTGGCCACACAGCAACAGTGGGATGAGAGCCTTCGAGAAGAGGAGAGCAGTGAACAGCACATCATGTCCTGCTCCTGAGAGCTCTTGCTTGAGCACCATTAGGATCATGTGTTCTCACGGAAATGAGCAGGAGCCTTATTTCTGGGGTCAGAGGCTGGTCTCCCCCAGTTAAACAGAGAAGCTGAGCAGCTATTGGCAGTGAGAGTCACCAGTCTGCATAGAACTAAATGGTCACCATCCATACACACACACACACACACACACACACACACACACAAGCTTCCATTGTATTTCTGTCTGGCAGAGATCTGGTTAAGTTCAATTTAGCTATTTTGGATACATCCCTCAACTCTCCTATTATTCTAAGATAAAATGCAAGGAACCTAAGAACATGGCTGTGCAGCTCATCACTGGCAGTCATCTATGTTCGTGACTTGGCACATACAGTGGGAGGTGGATCCACCAATCATCTCTTGCTGTAAGGTGAAATTAGGCCACAGCAAACATCGTGATACTCCACCAAGCAAAATACACCCTGGACAGCAGGAGCTGAAGCCTGACATTCCAATCAATCATTGTAACAGCCTGACTTCAGCTCTCAAAAAACAATTGGGGTCAGACCTGTGATCAGAAAGTGCCAGGCTTTAAAAATACAACAAAAATTTAAAAATAGCATTGCTTTAAAACATTTGTTGTAGATCTCTTAGTTAACTATCTCAATTCTACTTTAAGCCATTATTGGTTATTCTTGGGTTGATCCACCCTGGTTGTGTCAATTTCAGAGTCATTCTGAATGAGTCAGGGGTGAGGTTCTTAAAATTAGTCCCTTAGGACCCAAGGCTTATCACTCTTGGTAAGTCCACTAAGGACTCCTGAATGTCCACTATAGTAGCACTTAACCAAACAGACTTAAGAGTTATTTACACTCTCATATCACCAAAAACAGGAAAACAGGAAACCAGGGTAGGGTAGAGCCACCATGATAGTTTAAATGATGGTTTTCAGAATTACCTGCCTGTACCTCTCCAAGTGGCCAGCCTACACATGGTTACATGTGAAGGATTAAAATGATGAGAGGCGATAACTGAGATGTCTCTTTATCAGAACTGTAACTCAATAGGAAACATTAACTTACAGATACCAGAGGTATGGTCGTTTCTAAGAAGGCAAGAATAAAGACTTACACAGCAGGATTGGCACTGAGAGGTATACTGGCTACTCAACCAGCTGGTACCTACAAACTTTGTTATTGTTACCACCAACCTCATTGAAGAACCTTTCACCATCAGCATACATTTGGTCTGGTTGTCTTTCTTGCCTTCTATCATGAATTCAATATTCCAGCTATAAATCAAAAGTGCTTTAACTAGGCAACAGTGAGAGACTCCAAAAGTTTCCAAATATTTTTGAGGTAGTACTCATTTATTTGCATTGTTGGCTCTCAATACCACCAAGGAAATGAACCCACTTAGAAATACGCAAACCAAATAAGTAGAAAATAAATTAAGATTTTGTTTTCAGGTAGCAGGGCCTTCTTATAAAGGTCAAGTCACATTCAATGGATAAGTCATTTGAAACTTCTAAAAAATGTTTATAACCATAGCTATAAACTAAAGTGCTTTAAATTTTGCTTAATACCTAAAATCAGTGATTAGAATCATCATCTTTTAGAGTTTGCCTATATGAGACCTCAGGAGATTGAAATGATTTTTCCATAAAAAGCAGAAACTTTCTTTTCAAATTTGCAAATCCAGGTTATTTTTACGGAACTGTAGCAGAAATTCATTGAAACAACTACACAACAGTACTTGCTAAGACGTATGGATGTCAACATGAAATCTCTGATCATTCCTGCCACTCACTAGCCAAGGCAAATGCAGCCCTACATCTTCCCAGCACAAGGTAGATAAGTACAATCACTCCAGAAAACACAGCAGACCACAGGGGCCGTTCAGTAAGAAAAAAAGGTCACATTTAACGCACACAAGGTAATGTCCTACTGCCTGTCAGTCAATGTCCACAGCTCAAGCTTTTCAGGTACTGTGTGGAGGAGAGCTTCACTTCTACCGACCAGGGAGGGCCAATACACATAAGACAGAAATAAAAAAATATGAACATTCTGTACATTTCATGCAAGCTGGGCACAATGTGAAAAGAACACATACAAAGCACCCTTCCCAGGGCCAAACTTTCACAAAAAATGGCTGATTGATATGCAGAAAAGCCTGTACGAATCAAATGTCCATGGCATACACCCAACTAAGAAGCACTGGTGAGCTCATTTTTCTTGTAACAGTGCAGGAATGTTGATGTTCCAACCAATGGCTTGCCTATCGAAGCCACACGTGAACAGATTGCAGACCGGATGGTCTTCGCTCCACGCCGAGCAGCACACCATTCTCCGGTGGCCCTGGGGATAAGCAAACAAACCAAAATTAGTGCGCCTAGGTAACAAGTGAACACCATGGATTAGTCCAACTGAGCCACCAACACTGCACATGACAACGGACTTTCCCTGAGCCAGTGCTAGTATGGCCCCAAAGAAATGAGCACCAATGGAACACATGACAAATGATAAGGAAGTTGGGGTTCTTTAAGAAAACACGCTGGCTGTGGTGGCCCAAGACGGAAATCTCAGGAGGTAAAGATAGAACTGTAGTATGACACAAGCCCAGTGACCTAGAAGGTCAGTAAGAACTCCACCTCAACTAGCAAGTGAGATGTGGTGGGTCACACCTACAATCTGCATGGCAGAGGTGAAAGTAGGTGGGTCATGGGCCTTTAGCAAGAAAAAATTATATATACACACACAAAAAATCAGGAAGTAGCGCTGTGGCTCAAGTGGTACAGTGCTCGCCTTGAGCTGAAGAGCTGAGGGACAGCGGAGGCCCAGAGTTCAAGCCCCACAACCGACGGAAGAAAGAAAGAAAGAAAAGAAAGAAAAGAAAGAAAGAAAAGAAAGAAAGAAAGAAAGAAAGAAAGAAAGAAAGAAAGAAAGAAAGAAAGAAAGAAAGAAAGAAAGAAAAGAAAGAAAGAAAGAAAGAAAGAAAGGAAAGGAAAGAAAGGAAAAAAAGAAAGAAAGGAAAAAAAGAAAGAAAGGAAAAAAAGAAAGAAAGGAAAGAAAGAAAGAAAATGATTCATTTGTTTTTATTTTTGGTTTTTTTGTTTTTTTTGTTTTTGTTTTTGTTTTTTGCTATCCTTGAGCATTTTTTGCTCAGCACAACTTCCAGTTTTCTGGGGGTTAATGGAGGTACGAGTCTCACACAATTTCCTGCCTGGACTGGCTTGGAACTGTGATCCTCAGATCACTCAGATCTCTTGAGTAGTTAAGGATGATAGGCATAAGTCACTGCTGCCCGGCAATTTGAAATTTTTAAATATTTGTGTAGCAAGTTAAAATAAAATTCAAACAAAGACTTCAAGTACCATTTATCAAATAATTGGTTTCAATCATAAAAGAGCTGGGAAAATATACTTTGTTCCCAGGAAGACAAAACAAATAAATGACCTTCTGAGTAAATTCCTACAATCTTCAGAAATTCCAGTCAAAAATCAGGGTTGAGGGCTTGGCACCAGTTGCTAATGTCTGTAATTCTAGATATTCAGGAGGCTAAAATATGATGATCTCAGTTTGAAGCCAATTTGAGACTCATGTCCAGTGAACTTCCAAAAAGTCAGAAGTGGAGCTATATGACTCAAGTGGTAGAGCACTAGTTTGGGGCAAAAAAAGGTCAGGGACAGCGCAGGGACAGCAGGCACCGCTCAAGCCCCAGGACCAGCATGCGCACAAACGCACGTGCACACACACAAACCTTCAGTGACATTCTACCTCCCTCAATCATAATTGCTATTATTAAGAAAACATAAAAACAACAAATGCTGGCTAGCATGCCTGGAAAGGAACCTTTATACATTGCCAGTGATAAGGTAATTTAGTCCAAGTACTACGGGGGGGAAAAAAAAATAGGGTTAAAGGTGTGGCTCAAGTGGTAGAATGCCTGCCTAACAAACAGGATGCCTTCAGTTCAAAACCTAGATCACAAAAAAGGTTAAAAACCAGAATGTCTGGGACATTAAAAACTTAATAGTGTGACATATTAGGGTATATGTATACAGATTCAAGTAAGTACTTACAGTAACACTCCAGTACTTAGACTACCTATAAGCAGTATCTTAGAAATATTAGCTCTAGGACTGAGAAGGTGGCTCAGTGGTAGAGTGTTTGCCTTGCATTCATAATTCCTCAGCACCACATAAGCAAAAAGAAAAAGCTGGAAGTGGTGCTGTGGCTCAAGTGGTAGAGCACTAGCCTTCAGCTGAAGAGCTGAGGGACAGCGCCCAGGCCCAGAGTTTAGGCCCACGACCAGACCAAAAAAAAAAAAAGAATTACTATTAAGTAAAACACAGATTTTGAAAAGATAAAGAATAGCACAAAAATTTTCTCTATATAACATTCACGTATGAATAATACTGTGAGTAAATTTGACAAGAACTGCAGTAGGCTGCAAAAACATGGTAAATGAGAAGTCTATATACCAAAAACAAAATGGAAAACTACCTTCATTGTTCATTGTTACTAATAATATCACTAAAGTCAGCACACAAGAAGTGACACCTCTCAGTCTAAAACTATGCCTTCAGGAAAGCATTACTTAAAGATAAATGCAAGGGGAAAGAGATGTGACTGGTAGAGTAGCAACTATCAAAGTGCAAGGCCCTGAGTTCAAACTCTGGTGTCATCAAAACTAAATACACAAATGCATACATAAATCCACTTACATACAGAACACTACTAAATAGCTGTGGAACTAGGAAAGTTACCTTAACCTCTCTGTATCTTCATCAATTAATTAGGCTAATAGGCTAATGGTATCTAGCCCCCTTGGGTCATTATGAAGATTAAGCAACAAATAAATATTAGCTAAAGATATAGCATTCATCTTCACAAATGAATAAAGGAAAATGACCACACAGTCAAGAACTCCACTGTGAGGAACTTGAACGTCAGAGAGAGCTCTGAGTCAGACAAGACACCACCACCACCTCCCAAGTGGGGTCAGGAACTCCACACATGTGCTCAAAGTACTGTGCTCACACACACACACACACGCACATACTGAGACATATTATGGACGATCGCATTACCCATCCACACATGAAAGGCAACTCCTTTGTACAGCTAAAGATAATAGAAAACTTAAAAAAAAAACCCACCAGGGCCTCCTGTGGTGTAAGATCCCAGTCACACAGCACACTTTCCAGAGTGTGCTGTAAACATTGCCTACACTACTCCCACTTTAATCACTAGTCACTTTCATTCTAAATCCTAGAAACCCCAGTAAGTCCAATATAGTGGCGTACACGCACATATACTTGAGAGGCTGAGGCAGGCAGGAGACTGCAAGTGTGAGGCCAACCTGCCCAACTTAGCAAGACTGTCTCAAAATAAAATAAACAGGGCTATGATTAAGCTCAGTAGCAGAGTGCTTGTTTAATGTGGGAAGGCTAGAGGCTAGACAAGTACTGGTTTAATTCCTAATACTGAAGAAAACAGGTTTTGTTGTTTTTGTTCTCTTTTTAAAATTGGCCAGAACATAATAAACCAGTGATTTCTAGCTGTGGTTCTGTGACTTGAAAACTACATTTATTCATTTAAATAAGTGTTACAAGGTCAAAATTAAGTGTTACATATTTATCTTAAAAAATAAATCTATGTAGGAGCTGGAAAGGTGGCTCAGTGGTAGAGTGCTTGCCTTGCATACATGAGGCCCTGGGTTCGATTCCCCAGCAC